GTGCCAGGGGAAAACAGGGAAGAATGATCACTTCTTAGGGCTCCTGGAGATGAGTCAGTGAATGTTGATCCATCAGGCACATGTCTCAGTTATGCTTCTGCAGTTGTATAAGGAGCACTTAACCCTCCTGTCTCACTAGTTGGTTGTTAAAGCATCTGTCCCTGCCCTGAGTAGCAATGCAGGCCTTTGTACTCCGTAAGTCTGTGCTGGAGATGACAGCTTTTAACTCCGGTGATCCCATTCTTACTCAACTTCCAGTTATGAGAAACAATACTTACAGGAGTGTCTCAGGGCATTGTTGTCCATACATTACTCTAGATAGGCTCAATGTTACCCTTGGTTATGCCAGATCATAACAGGGCTGTGAACCTGATACACTGTTTTGATTCCTTGAAGATCTGCCTTTTCCAAATTTGTGCCTTTGCCTAAACCATCAGCCTATGGAAAGGACATGATGAAATTTGCTGCTTCATTTACTGTAGAGGTTGGTGCTTTGGGTGTAGTCTGAGGTCCCTCACAGTGTCCTCCTTTGGAGGGCACCAAGGAGTGAAGTTGGTCAACATCAGGAAAAACTGTTCATACTGTGTGTAGAAGACGCTAACCCAAAGCCATTCGCAGGGCCCTCATTTGCTCTCCTTTCTCTATAAAGGCTAAAAAGGCAGATACTTACTTTTCCAGCTTCTCTAGGAGCAAGGGGTATTCATATGATCCAGTTTTAGCCATGAAACATAAAAGGAAGTCTGCAAGGAAGCTTCTTGGATGTCAATTGCTTTCCTGATGGAAAAGCAAAAAGCAGAACTCATTTCACTTAAGGCAATGAGATTACAAGAGTGATGAAAAACAGCACCCTGAGGACAGTAGAGAAGACAGACAGAGAAGCCTGCTCTTTGATAACAGGGCTGAACAAACGCTGCCCACCTCCAGACATCTTGTTAAATGAGAAAAATAACTACCAATAATGTAAACCATTATTTGTTGGGTTTTCTGTTACTTGCAGCCTGATATACCCTAACCAATAATCCAACAACCAGATTAGTTTTTATGTTAAGGATTGTTAGAAGTCTTGTAATTAAGTTTACCTCTATCTTAGATTTGGCAGTTAGGAAGTTACAATTATAATTTATGTCTGCCATGAGACTGCATGCTCTTTTAATTTTTGTCTCTGCATTTTGTTTTTTTAGCCATGTTTCCTTTCACCTTCATTTCTCCAAGTATTTTATTTTATAATTTTGTACATGCATTTTGCATGCCAAAATTTTTTTCTAGAACACAGCAAGATTTAAATAATATATAAGCAAATCAAAAGTTTAAATTCTGCTGGAAGGCTGATTTAGTAGTTTTTTTGTTTTTTTTTTTTTAATAAAGATGTCACAGAGGGACATCTGTGCCTCACTGTTTAGTTAAATTCAGTAGTTTCAATAATTCCTTAGGTTGTAACCAAAGTGAGTCAGTAAGTGGTTTAAATAGTGGCCTATTAAAAATCAAATCTCTATTGAGTTCAGAACTCTTAAGATCCTAAACTACAAGGGACACAGTTGGACTTCAAGAGATCTTTAAGCTTCCTGATGTAAGCAAAATTTTGTTTATACACACAAACGGACTTAAGAAGATCTTTAAGCTTCTTGATACAAGCAAAATTTTGTTTGTACACACAAATGCATATTTCTCTGGGTAAAAGTCTCAGACTCAACAAGTACACTATTATTCCAAAAAAGTTTAGGAAGTTTCACATTAAGTTACATTTATCCTTGTTGAGCTCCCCTTTCTCTGAATCACCACTGCTTCATTTGGGTTTTTGCTTTTCTGTCAGGATCCTAAACTTCTGTCAGAATGTTGGTGCGTGCTTTGTTCTGGGAGTGCACACTCAATAAATGTTAATTGCCTTTCATTGATATTTAATTATTTACACTGCATTTGGTGTGTGGAATGGCAGTCTCTGGTTGATCATTCTGGAAGCTCTGAATCCATCAGCTGCATCCCAGTGGGCCTGGTGTGTTGTAGACACACAAATAAAAGCAGAGTGAGGGAGGAGAAAAATCATTCTCTTCTAGGATAATGCATTTTTCATGAGAAACGGGTCATTACAGAGCCGTTGCCTCGTGCTTGCTCTCTCGTTCTGCCTTTTCATCCTTCTCTCTTGTCAATTATTTTGCCCCCATCTTCGTCCCTCTGCTTTATTGCTCTGCATTTGATTATTTTACCATCTCCTTCTTTCTAATATATTTAAATGCTTGCTATATAATACGTATCTTTGAACTATTTTCTTGTGCATCTTACTTGTATTCCTTTTTTCATCATGTGGCCGTGGCCTTGTCTCTTCATTAGCTCTTGTACATTACTCTGTCACATGCCAGCTGATACATCATACAGGTTTTCTCAAACTTACAATTTCAACAATCAGCACATAAAAAGACAATGCTCATATCCTGTTTTTCCATGCTACTTTGGTTTTCCCTGAAGATTTAACTTTACTGCCCATTGTAATATTTTCCTATTCCCTTTTACGTCTGTGAATACAGACTCAATAATGTACACAATTTCTATTCTGTCATGCAAATCTATAGCAATTTCCTCCCAAATGATGGATGTGAAGTAATCTGTCCATCACATTTCTTAGAGCAACTGTCTCTTCTCTAGTTAAAATCAGGAGTGGGTTTAAGTAAGCCAGAGATTTTTGGGGAAGGAGATTTCTGTCATGAGAGGAATGACTCCTGTGGGGGAAAAACTATCTCAGTGAAAACTACTTTCATGTTCCTGTTGGGAGTTGTTGTTGGATTTTTTTTTTTTTTAAGCAGCTGGGTAAGCTATAATTTTTACTAAAATTTAATTATGTGCAGAGAATAAGCATCTGGAAATCATCTGGATAATCAGTGTGAATTTATATGGTAAATTAGATGTTTCTATTATATGCTAAGTTGAGAGATTATGATCTTAATGATCTGTACATTATTCATTAAAGTCTTTGTTTTAAGTCTGTCTTTCTGAAATAATTAGAATTCAAGGCATTCATGAAACAGGAAAGCTTGCCACTTTATTTCTTAGTTTATTTCTTATTCCATAAGTATATCTCCCTTGGGACAGTGGGGTTCTTAGAAGAGGTTTGTTTTGGTGTGTATGCTTTTCTCTTTAACTCACTTATTCGTGACATTTAAGAAGCAGTAGGGATCCTAAGTTAGGCATGTAAGCTGGAAAACAATAAAACTTGAAAATTATCCGGGCGTGAAATCCCCTTGAACTAAGGAATGCTTCTAACATTAAGTTCTCCATAAGCATGAACTATTAATGATAACATTTCAAAATTCATTTTTGAAGGAAGGTTCATAATAGGAAACTTGATCATCTAAAATTAGCCAAACCTACCTTCTTACTAGCCTAAAATAAAAGCTTACTCCCCCCTACCCAATATGACCTAAAGATAATAGATTACATCTCACCCCCTAAGTAACTTGGCTCAAGCCCAAGAATTAATACATACATGACACCCAGAATTGCATCCAGAAAAAGAAGCAGCATTCATTTTCTTGTGAGCTGTCAGAGCTCGGTAAGCCTCCAAGGCTCTGTAATCCTCATCAACGGTCCTCATCTTCACTGTGCTCCAGTGTGAAAAACGCAGAGTGGCAACACTGCGCTGGGGGTCAGGCCCTCCGCAGGCTGCGGTTTCAGAAGGTGTGTCTCAAACTCTATGTGAGTCTTCCATTCTGAAAGGGATTATGTCTTCACTCTGAAAGCTGACAACCTGAAGAGTTAAACAGCTGAGACAGGAAAGTAAAGCTAGCACAAAAAGAATGTTTGTATTTATTTTTTCATTTTACCCGAGAGAGTCATAAGGACATAGGTCCGAAAATACTAGAGGTAGGAGACTAATAAGAAGTAAAATGGTGAAAAGTAGGGAGAGGCAAGGAAGAGATAAAGGTGTAGAAAATGATGGAAAGAGAAAAAGCCACACAGAGGGGAGAGGCAGGTAGCAGTCCTGCATTCTGACTTTTGTAGGCCCTGGGAGCTTTTGCCTCTGAGTTTTTCCTTCACTAAAAAATAAAAAAGAGATTAAAATTTAGGTTTTTCCTACTATACTGGAATAAAGTAATAAATGTATTAAATTTAAAATGTAAACATAATGTATTAAAATATTTTCTTCAACTTGAAAGCTCACTTTTTTTCCTCTGATATTAAAATATGTGAAAACATGTTCATGTGTTCCTGAAAGGCACTGGGTCCACGCCTCCTAATGTGTGAGTCAAGTCCACCCTACAGAGAGAGTGAGGGCGAGGGAGGCAGGAAGAACAGTGTGCTCAGAAGTGAGGGCCAGGTGAAAAACGAGCAACTTAAAAGTTTAATCAGCACATATATTTGTGTATCTTCATAATCTAGATCTAAACTGCAGTTTAAATTATCCCTAATCAAACTAGCTAACCTTTATTGAATGGTTACCATTTGCTAAGCCAGTTACATGCTTTATCTCACTCATTCAACACAATAACCCTACAGTTAAGTAGAGAAAGGTATGCCTTGAAGTTTTAGGGCCCCTCAGTTGCTCTGGTTCCTTCCAAGACACTGTACTCAGTTTTTAAGAGGCTTCTCAAGACTGTATATGCTTCAAACCCTGCAAAATCTGAACCTGCCCATATAGGTAAATAGACAGATGATTCTAATTCACAGCTGAGCTCATTGAAACACAGAAAGGCTAAGTGATCTGCAGAATGTTCAGGGTCATGACTTTTGTAGGCCCTGGGAGCTTTTGCTTCTGTGAGTTCTTCCTTCACTAAAAAATAAAAAAAAGATGAAAAATTAGATTTTTCCTACTGTACTGGAATAAAGTAATAAATGTATTAAATTTAAAATGTAAACATAATGTATTGAAATATTTTCTTCAACCTGAAAGTTCAGTTTTTTTCCTCTGATATTAAAAGATGTGAAAACATGTTCATGTGTTCCTGAAAGGCACTGGGTCCACGCCTCCTAATGTGTGAGTCAAGTCCACCCTACAGAGAGAGTGAGGGCAAGGGAGACAGGAAGAACAGTCTAACCTGTTGAAGGATAGACTCAGGAAGATTGAGTCTGACTAAAAAAGAATCTTGAGTGATAGGTTAGAATTCAGAACCAGATGCAATCATAACAAGTATAAGGTGCCCAGAACTCCATTCAGTCTACTTTTCTCAGGTCATCTCTTTAAGGTCCCCTAGTTTTAGCCATCACCATTGGCTGGTGACTACCAAATATATAGCTTCAGCTCTTTTAGGATTCTCTCAACATCACTAACAAGATGCTCACCCAAATGATCATAAAAGGTACAGAACTGCTCACATAAGAGGCAGTCTAGAGGTAGTGTAACTTTCCAAAATGGCTGATGCACAGGTTCAACAATGTTATCAGGGAAGCAGATTATCTCTCTCTAGGCTTTACAATCCACATAATTGGCCTAATCCTGTGGCTGGATGTCTTTGTGGTCATAGGAAAGCTGTGAGGGGCACCAGGGCTTGAAGGCTTGCTCAACCAAATCCATTCAGAGAGAAAGACTGACCTCCCACGGCTTTCCCAGAGGCTTCTTGGAAATATCTCTTTGCTTCCCATTGATGGAAATTAGATACCATGCTTATCCTTGAACTAATTACTGTTAAGTAATTACTTTTAGATCAGTACTTTTAGATCAATTAGGCCCATCATTGAGATGAGGTCAGTTTCCCAAACCACATTGAAAGAGGGGTGAGGTACTGTTGGGGAGTCAACAGTAAAATCTCAGGGTCAGTTCCAGACCTTGTCTGATGAGTGCCCAAT